GAAAATCCAGTGGCTGACCTTGGACATCCGTCCAAGACGTCTCGGCAATAAATAACATCTTCCCTCCACCCCGTTGTTCCCAACCCCCACTGGCTACAGACACCCACTGCCACTGAGAGCAAACTTTTCACTGGGACTTATCTATGCAGTGGATTTGCGGATTCCAGTTGGTAAGCGTAGCGAGTTTTTGCTCTCACTTGGAGGCACAGAAATACACCAGACAGTCGTGCCCCAGGCACCCACACAGCGTCTGACTTCATAAGCCCCTAAAGCTGATCTGGAGGCTAGAAAGTTTTCTGCCTCTCTCCTTTGTTACACTATGGAGATAATTTCATTCTCTGCTTCCCTTCAATGGAAGACACTATCTACCTGTTAAACTCTGGGGTTTAAAGGGACATAAAGTCTCAAAAATCTGCAGTCTGCTCAAACTCAGGATCAATACTCGGGGCACTCGATCTTGGAACTGGACATTTGGATCCAGACAAAACCCCTCATGGCTGGTTAATGCTGACACATCCTTTGGACGCCCTATGGCATTGAACATGCCACCCCTCTACACAATAAAGATTTTTCATAGCTTATTGATTGGTGTTTTAAAAAGGATCAAACTGGGGGCGCCCAGGTGGCTGTCGGTTAAGCGTCTGACTTCAGCTCAGGTCACGATCTCACAGTCTGAGTTCGAGCCCCACGTCGGGCTCTGTGCCGACAGCCCAGAGCCTGGAGCCTGCTTCGGATTCTGTGTCTCCCTCTCTCTCTGCCCCTCCCCCACTCACTGTTTCTCTCTCTCTCCTCAGCCAAGGGTAAAACCACACATTTAGACCAATAGCTGGTACAGATTTCCCCGAAAGGCAGCAGGCAACATCTGGGTCGCAGCCCTCCCGAGACGTTCAGCCTCGCCTGGGTTCCTTTTTCTCATCGTTGCTTCTTCTCTGTCCTTCGTGGAAAGAACGTGCCCTTGTCCACCTTTCCCAAACTGTTACAAAAGAGGGGAATCTCTTCTTCGAGTTGTGGCCTTTCAGAAACCCCCTCATCACGGCCCTGTGATACAGTCATTTTCACTGGCTTTCTCCTAAGAGGTAAGACGTTCAGAATTTAAAGAAGTCTTTCTTTCATCTGAACTCGTCACTGACACGGGATTCTTATGCAGTAGTTTCTAAAAATGCAGCTCTGTAGGCTGCATTTGAGAACACATTTGGTTCCAGACAGTTCTTTTGGAATAACAATACCACTTTTTTTTTTAAGTTTATTTATTTTGAGAGAGAGAGAGAGACAGAGAGAGCAGGGGATGGGGGGTGGGGGGGAGACAGAGACGGAGACAGAGACGATGCCAAGCAGGCTTCGTGCAGTCGGTGTGCAGAGCCCGATGTAGGGCCTGAACTCATGAAACCGTGAGACCATGACCTGAGCCGAAATCAAGAGTTGGACACTCAACTGACTGAGCCTCCCAAGCGCCGCTAACAATACATTTTAAAATGTCTCTTGGGGCACCTGGCTGGCAGGGTTGGAGCAGCCACAGGACCCTTTTTTTTTTTTTCTTTTTTAAAAGAATTTTATTTTAATGCTTATTTACTTTTGAGAGAGAGAGAATGCAGGCAGGGGAGAGGCAGCGAGAGAGGGAGACACAGAATCCGAAGCAGGCCCCAGGCTCCGAGCTGTCAGCACAGAGCCCGACGCGGGGCTCCAACCACGAACCGTGGGATCATGACCCGAGTCGAAGTCGGATGCTTAACTGACTGAGCCACCCAGGCACCCCCATGGGACTCTTGATCTTGGAGTCATTAGTTTGAGAGCCACACTGGAGATAGAGAGACCTTAAATAAATAATAAACTTTGAAGTTTTGCCATTATTGCAAAAAATTTCATCAGCTGCTGCTTTGCATTATTTGCACTACATCTGCCCCAGTCCCGAGTTGATCCTTGCGCTCCTACAGGACCCACTATTGTTTTCTTTTTAATAATAATTTAAGCAATTCCTATGCTCAATATGGGGCCCAGACTCACAACCCTGGGATCAAGAGTCACATGCCAGGCACCCCTCCGCTGTTCTACCTTCCATGCTGCTTCTCCAAGACACTTCCAGGATGCATCCAAGACTCCGGGTTTGCTTTTATAAATAAGACCTTTCTCCCTGAAGTCACAATAAAACTTCAGTTGAGTACTTTCAGACCTAGGGTCCGGTTTAGAATATTCACCTGTTGGGGCGCCTGGTTCATTCAGTCAGTCAAGCATCCGACTCTTGGTTTCGGCTCAGGTCATGATCTCATGGTTTGTGGGATCAATCCCAGCATTGGGCTCTGTGCTGACAGGACAGAGCCTGCTTGGGATTCTCGCTCTCCCTCTCTCTCTGCCCCTCCCCTGCTCACCCTTTCTCTCTCTCTCAAAAACAAATAATCATTTTGAGGCGCCTGGGTAGCTCAGTCGGTTGGGAGCCTGTCTTTGGCTAAGGTCATGGTCTCACCATCCATGGGTTCGAGCCACATGTCGGGTTCTGTGCCGACAGCTCAGAGCCTGGAGCTTGCTTTGGATTCTGTGTCTCCCTCTCTCTCTGCCCCTCCCCCGCTGGCACTCTGTCTCTCTCTCAAAAATAAAAATAAAAATTCAAAAAAAATTAGAGAAACAAATAATTATTAAAAAAAGAATATTATTCACGTAATGTAGAATTGTCAAGCTAAGCTACTTAGTTTTGTATATTTATTCTAAGGTTTCTATATTGTTGCCTGTCAAACTTTTGTGAAAATGATGTACCTAATAATTAGATGATTCCCCATACTTACCATCTCTCTCTCTGTCTCTTCAGATTTTATTTTTAAGTAATCGCTACACCCAACGTGGGGCTTGAACTCACAACCCTGAGATCAAGAGCTGTGCGCTCTACTGACCGAGCCAGCCGGCCGCCCCTCCGATGCTTATCAGCTTGATAAATACAGACGAGGTGGGAAGTGCTGGAGAGTTTCTCCAGCTTTCCTTCGCGGGCCCCTAACTGGTTTCCACCGCTGTGCACCTTCCCTCGCTCAAGTGAGACACGGAACCAAGACACATCCTCCCCAGCACTGAGGGACAAAACCACTAACAACGGAAAGCCGGTCTCTTGGTCAGAAATGCCCTTGAAGAACGATCTTGGGGAGGTCTCATGACCCAGCGCTGACTGTCAACTACACACTCCGAAGGAAAGACACCCTCGGATTCGATACGCCTTCAGCTACTGCTTTATTGTCCCACCAGGAGGAAGAAAGCTTTCCTCCTCTGCCATGAATGGCCTCGCCGGTGGCAGACCGTCACAGCTCAGCCCATGAAAATACACTCCACTTGAACTCCCACTTCACGACAATGCGCTGTTATACCAGCCCCTCCTAGAACCCCCCCTCTCCTCTATAAAAGAGCATTCCTCTCCTCTGTTCTCCAGACACGTCTATACCCTTGCTGAAGCGTTCCTCTGCTGAACTGCTAAGGACAGATAAACATTTTTCCTGGCGAAGGAACTGTTCAGTTTTACTTTTAAGATAAACAGTATTTAGTACTATTGCTTCTGAATATGTATGGAAAAAATGACACACTCCAAAAATGAGTCACTTCCCCAGCAGGTCATATTTGAACATAAAATCTCGGGTAACGAATCAGAAAACACTTATAAAGATGTAAAAGACTGGAAAACCCAGGTAAGATGCTTTCTAAGAAATAATGGGGGAGGGGGCCTATTGTTTCACAAAAACTACAGTGTTTTGAACCACGTATTAAAAACAACAGAATTAAACACTGGGAAATCACGTGTAACAAGAGTCAGTAAGCATACTGGGTTTCTCTCTTAAGACAGCGGCCAGCTATAGAGGGAAACTTCCACAAACGGCCAAATACACTCACAGGTGCTAATTCCAATCACAGAAACATCCAGAAAGAAGAAAGGCAGGGTCAGCACAGCCTCTCTACAATGCAACCAAGGACAGAGGTTTCCTGCATCTGTGGCTACAGCCTTTGGTCTGAGGGAGGCAGGACACAGACCTACCCTGAGATGCTCACCACAGAAATCACGTACGAGGAAAAGCATGGAGGGGCGTCTGGGTGGCTCAGCTGGCGAAGCGTCCACCTCTCAATTTCGATTCAGGTCATGACTTCACGGTTCGTGAGATCGAGCCCTGAAGTCGGGCTCTGTGCTGACAGTGAGGAGCCCCCTTGGGGTTCTGTCTCCCTCTCTCTGCCCCTCCACCGCTCACTCTCTCTCTCAAAAAAAAAAAAAAAAGTAAGATTAACATTTTTAAGAAAAGTATGGAGATGAAGGGGTCACAGGATAAGAGAGCTCGCTAAGCACGACAGCCTGAAGAGACGGCCTCACGGACACAAAGAGTCACAGGGCAACACAAGGATCCGTGGGGACCGGGAAGCCAAGACGATCTGTCACGGGATAGCTCGTGGAAGTCTCTGGAACATGCTAACAAGAACTAATGTCAAACTTTTCTTACATGGGGGCTGTTCCAGACGGCAGACCAGAAGCCAGGACAACACGCCGTGACTCGGGCCCACCTGGGTCCCCACGCGTCTGTCCCCTGGCGGCACGGAAGGATGGAGAATCACGGTTCCTCACTGCTGCTCTCCAAGCCCCACACAGCTTCTCTTCTCAGGGCCTTCCTCTCAGAGCCGCACAGAGGAGGACTCTGGGACATACGGCCTCCCGCCTCACAAGGCTCACGACGAAACCCAGCAGAACCAGCCGGACACTAGCTTTCCACTTCAAGCCACAAGGTTTCTCTTCTTTTTTTTTTTTTTTAAAGTGTATGTATTTACTTTGAGAGAGAGAGAGAGAGAGAGAGAGCTGTCAGCACAGAGCCTGAAACGAGGCTCAATCCCACAAACCGCAAGCTCATGACCTGAGAGCCAAAATCAAGAGTGGGGCGCTTAACCCACTGAGCCACCCAGGCACCCCCAACAGAGTTTCTCTTCGTAACTCAATGGGTCATGACTGATGAACAACCGAGATCAAGGGCGATGAGCGGAGGTCAAACCATGAACACGATCAGAGGAGACTGTCCTCCTCCAGTATCCTTGCGCGTTTACTAACGTCCATGGGGAACACAGGTGGGCACACGGCAGCAACAGCACACGTGGAGACACAACTTTCAATAATAGAGACCGCAAGAAGGGGCAGGGCGGAGTCGGGGAGTTCTAGTCTCTGCACCAGAGGACGAGATACACGTACAGACCACTGATCAGCCCTGGGTCCAGAAGACATCGTCGTGGAGACACGTTTGCCATAACTGTGTGCGGTTTTCGGATCTGAGATAACAAAATAATGCCCTACAGGTGAGAAGGACACAGTGGGATGCTTCTTAGGCATGAGCTGGAATTAACGCACTTGGGATCCCTGTAAGGAAGAGGCATTTGCAAAGACAAATCCATATTTACAACAATTAGAAGATGCCGGGGCTGCCTGACCTGCCATGGACAAAATACGTGACCTACGATCCTTCCAAGCTTTTCCGACACTTTTCCCATCGAGAAGATTTCTCTCCGTGGTGTTTGCTCATGTTTTAAATATGACTATTAGGGGAGAATGCAGGCTTTGCCACAGGTGCTGTGCTCAGGGCTAGTCCCCAGTGTGTGTGTGCTCACAGGTTCCTGGGATGCCCGAAGGCTTTTCCACGGTCCCTACGTTGTCAGGCTACACTTCGCCGTGTTTTCCTTCACATGTGTCCTCGGTGGGAGGAGGGACGACTGGGGGCTCTCCCACAGCGCCCAGTGTGAGTCGTCACACGCTCCCGCAGGTCTACGGGGCACTGGAAGGCCCCGCCAGAGTCCTCAGATTCACCGGCTCACCGTCCACCGTGCAGCCTCACGTGTTCTTGACGGGAGCCGTGACGCCTGAACGTCTTCCCACAGTGCTGACCTTCAAAGGGTCTCTCCCCACTGTGCGTCCTCCAAGGAAGGAGTGAACCTGCTACGCTTTCCCACACTCTTTACTCTCCTAGGGTTTCACGCAACTGTATCTCAAATGACTTTGCAAATGCTGGAGCTGCCTGAAAGCTTTCCCGCACTACTCGCAAGCGTCTCTCCCCAGCGTGCGTTGTTCCGTATCGAAGGAATGAAGAATAGAACGGATTAGGAACGACACTCCGTACTTTCAGATGTTTGACTCAACTGTGGGTTTTCCCGTGCCTTCGGAAGGAGGAGACACGACTGAAGGTTTTTCCACACTCCTTACATTCGTAGGGCCTCTCCCCGGTGTGTGTCCTCACGTGAGCTCGCAGGTTTGCGGGGTATCTGAACGTTTTCCCACAATGCTGACACACGCAGGGTCTCTCCCCAGTATGTATCCGTGCATGTATTTGAAGGTACGAGGACGAATAGAAGGCTTTTCCACACTGCTGGCACTTGAAGGATTTCACTCCGCTGTGCTTTCTCAGATGACTTTGAAGGTAGGCCCGACGAGTGAAGGCTTTTCCACACTCCTGACATTTATAGGGTTTTCCCCCAGTATGCGTTCTCACGTGACTTTGAAGGTAGGTCCGACGAGTGAAGGCTTTCCCACAGAGCCCACACTGAAAAATTCTTTCCCCAGGTTGATTACTTGAGTGACCTTGAGCGTAAGAGAGGCAGCTGTAAACCTTCCCATAGTCTATGCAATCACCGGGCCTCTCCCCGGCGTGAGTTCTCATGTGACACGTAAGACGGGAGTGAAACATAAAGGCATTCCCACACACGCCACACGCATGGACACTCTGTCCACAGGAACCTCGCACGTGACCCTGAAAGGAAGACGTGCAAATGAAAGCTTTTCCACATTTCTTGCACTCTAGAGATATTTTACTACTGAGACTCTTCGCGTACGTCTCCGATGCTCTCCCGGCGTCCTGACCTTCATAGGGTTTCTCTACAAGGCCTGCGTCCACCTGAGTGCTGAGGCTCGCGACACAGCTACAGGCCAGCCCACATTCCTCACAGGGACTAGGTTTGAGTCCTGGGTGAAATCTTCGCAGATTCCCTAGGAAAAAACCACCTGTGAGGGCTTCTCTACACTTAGCGCATTGACAGGATTTGCCTCCGGTGGGATACCCCTGGTGCGCGGTAAGACTTGTAATCGGGTTCAGGGTGCCTCCGCGTTGATCTCCTTCGATACGTTCACAGACACTCGCCACAAAAGGACTTCTGTTCAAAACGGGAAGGCACACGGTTAGGGACTAGTGATTAGAAGCGATCTCTTTATTCATTAATGATCTATTATTGATGTTCGCTCATCAGTGCTGGCACTGCACAATGGCCACTGTCAATGAATGGGTACGTTTGTGGCACTGTCTCCATGCTTACAAAGTGGTACAAGCTTACTGGTCTGGCTGAGGACTCAAAGAGAGTCATAACATTCAGGGCTTCTTACGTAGCGTTTTCCCTGACCGTGGTTTCCAACTGAATGGGGTTTCAGATGATCAATATGTAGAATGCATTTTTCCCACCAATTACACAATTGTTGCGCTAGGTTTTCAGCTGTTCTTTAATTTCAAGTTAGTCTCACAATCTGCCAACGTCCCCCCTCCTCCTCCCTGCAAGTGTCACTCACCTCAAACGCCTTTCCTGGGTTTGCAGGTAATCTCCTCTGCTACGAAATGTCTGGTTTTCTCCAAAAACAGACCAGGAATCGTTTCTTGCAAATCTTACTATTTTTTCTTCATGAGATGGTTCATCCTCCAAAACATCCCACTGAGGACTTGATCCACTGGTATTAACTCGAATGCAATAATCTGCAACATTTGGTAGCAAAATTTAGTTTGCTGGAAAAGAATTAGTGGATAAAAGAAAGAAAACAGACCGAACGTAGACTTCCATTCGTATACTGATCTCAAATGTAAATGAAGTTCATCAGGAAGAAAGGTCAGGTGACCGAGGAAAAATTCTGAGGACCTTGGTAATCTGGGACTTTGGGAATGATAGGAAAACTATCAAATGGCAACGTGTTCACTCAGAAATACTTCAATATAGATGGAGACTAATGCAGAGATCAGTATTTTTAGAAAAACAAAATAGGGGGCGCCTGGGTGGCGCAGTCGGTTAAGCGTCCGACTTCAGCCAGGTCACGATCTCGCGGTCCGTGAGTTCGAGCCCCGCGTCAGGCTCTGGGCTGACGGCTCAGAGCCTGTAGCCTGCTTCAGATTCTGTGTCTCCCTCTCTCTCTGCCCCTCCCCCGTTCATGCTCTGTCTCTCTCTGTCCCAAAAATAAATAAACAAACGTTGAAAAAAAAAATTTAAAAAAGAAAAACAAAATAGGAAGGAACTGGGCAAGATACACACACCGACACACTACCTCTGTAACAAAACTACAGAAAGGCTCACCATGTGCATAAGGATGGATGAAAAGTCCAACAGGGAAGCCAGGTAAGTGACAAACACCCCCCTTCTCAAACAGACGGCGTCATGTTTCTTTCTTTTTATTAAGTTTAGTTATTTTTAGAGAGAGGGAGAGCACGAGCAGGTGAGCGGCAGAGAGAGAGGGACAGAGAGAATCCCGAGCAGGCTCTGCACTGTCAGCCTGGAGCCCGACACAGCGTTCAATCCCACAATCCATGAGATCACGGCCTGGGTCAAAACCGAGAGTAAGATGCTTAACTGACTGAGCCACCCAGGCGCCCCCGAGTCATGTCTCTAATGGATGTGTCCAAACGCCAATCCCTTCTCCAGAACCTTCTCCAGAACCTTCTCCCTTCTCCAGAACCTGGTCCAACTGAGGGTTGGCCTGTTCTGAAGGCACAGAGGCCCTCGGTGGAGCCTGTCTGCACTGCCCCAGCTGCCGCTAGGAGGGAGATTAGATGGTGTGTGTGTGGCTGCTGTCCTGCCCCTGAGAAGAGCTCAGCACGAGGGAGGATTTGAAGGACAACAAGCAATCTGGAAGATGGGCCTGACTTTCGTCTTCAGGGTCATTGATGATGGGTAAGTGCGGGCTTTTTGTTTGTTTGTTTGTTTTGTTCACTAACCTGTACACCCCACGTGGGGCTCAAACTCATGACCCTGACATCAAGAATCACATGCTCTTCTGACTGAGCCAGCCAGGAGCCCCTGGGCTTTTTTGGGGGGTGGAGAGGGAACCATATTGGCCTATAATATTAGTGTCAGGGGCACAACATAGTGATAGGACAGTTCTATACACTACAAAATGCTCACCACGATAAGTGAAATTACCACTGGGCACTATACGAACTACAATATTACTGCCCATATTCCCTGTGTGGCACTCTTCACTCCCCAAGACTTCTTTATTTAATAAGCTCAACTCTGTACTTCTCAATCCCCTTCATCCATTCACCCGTCCCTCCAGCCCCTTCCAACCTCGCAAACACCATGTTGATCTCCTGTTTTTACACCTGTTTCTACTTTTTGTTGTCTGTGCCTCCATTTTGTTGTTTAGATCCCACGTGTTAAGTTACAACACGGTGTTTGTCTTTCCGTCTTATTTACTTGGAATGACACCCTGTAGTCCATCCACGTGGTCATAAATGGCAAGACTTCATCCATTTTATACGGCTGAGTGATGCCCCCTGTATGTAGATACCACATCTTCCCTATCCATTCATCTGTCGATGGACTCCTGGGTTGCTTCCACATCTTAAATACCACAACTAGTGCCACAGTGAAGTGGGGGCGCACATATCTTTGCGTGTTAGTTTTTTTCCCCTATGGTCAACTACCCAGAAGTGGAATTATGGACCATATGGTACTTGTTTAGTTTTTTGTGGAAGCTCCATATGGTTTTCCAACATGGCTGCACCAGTTTACCTTCACACCAACAACGACGGGTTTCCTGGTCTCCACACCCTCACCAATACTTGCTATTTCCTGTCTTTTTGATACTAACCAATCTATCTTCTCTGAGATGATATCGCATTGTGGTTTTGATTTGCATTTCCCTGAGGATTAGTGATACTGAACAGCTTTCTGAATGTCTACTGGCCATCTCAATATCTTCTTCAGGAAAATGTCTGTTGTTGAGTTCCTCTGCCCATTTAATAATCAAATTTTTTTTGGTGTTGAGTTGTAGGAATTATTTGTTTTAGGTACAGACCTTTTATTGGAAATATCATTTGCAAATATCTTCTCCCCTTCCCATAAACAAAGGGTTGCCTTTTCATCATGTTGACAGTTGCCTCACTGCAAAAGCTTTTCAGTTTGATATAGTCCCAATTGTTTAGTGCGGGGTTTTTTTGTTTTTTGTGGTTTTTTTTTTTTTTACCCTTCCCTGAGGGACAAGTCCACAAAAATATCACTAAGGCTAATGTCCTTACAGTTTGCTGTCTCTGTTTTCTTTCAAGAGGTATATACTTTCAAGTCTTACGTTTAGGTATTTAATCCATATCGTTTACTTTTGTGTAAGCTGTAAGAAAGTGGCCCCGTTTTGTTGTTTTAGTTTATTTATTTTGAGAGTGAGCAAGTATGAGTGGGGGTGGGCCAGAAAGAGAGGGACAGAGAATACCAGCTCGGGGCTTGAACTCACGAACTGTGAAATCACAAACTGAAACCAAGAGTCGGATGCTGAACTGACTGAGCCACCCAGGCGCCCCTTCAAGTCTTCACTTAAATTTGTTAGTAAATATGCATTATATTGGTTTCAGGAGTGGAAGCCATCATTTATCACTTATATACAACCCCTGGTGCTATCCCATCACCCATCTAGCCCATCCCCCGCCCACCTCCCTCCATCAACCCTCGGCTTGTTCTCTATCGTTAAGAGTCTCTTATTGTTGGTTTCCCCCTTCCCATATGTTCATCTGTTTTGTTTCTTAAATTCCACATGACTCATATCATATGGTATTTATCTTCCTCTGACTTCTCGCTTAGCTTAATACACTCCAGTTCCGTCCATGTAGTTGCAAATGACAAGATTTCATCATCTTTGGTGGCTGAGTGATATTCCGTTGTGTATATAAACCACATCTTATTTATCCATTCATCAGTCGATGGACATCTGGGCTGCTTCCATAGCTTGGTTATGATAAATAATGCTGCTATACACATCAGGGTGCGTGTACCCCTTCAAATCTGTATTTTTGAATCCTTTGCGTAAATACCTAGTAGTGCAGTCGCTGAGTTGTAGGGTAGTTCCATCTTTAGTGTTTGGAGCAACCTCCAGACTTCCTTCCAGAGCGGCCGCACCAGTTTGCATTCCCACCAACAGTGCAGGAGGGTTCCCCTTTCTCTGCACCGTTTCATTCTTTTGGAGGTCGCTGTCCAGTTTTCCCCAACACCATTTACTGAACACAGTCTTTTCCACGTCGTCTATTCTGACCTGCTTGGTTGTAGATATTTGGACAATATAAACATGGCTTTCTTTTGGGGATCTCTATCCCGTTCCCTTCATCTACGTCTGGTTTTGTGCCATACCATACTGTTTTGATTACTACAGTTTTGCAGTATATTTTCAAATCTGGGATTATCAGATCATCAGCTTTGTTACACTTCCCTAAAACTGTTCTGGCTATTTGGGGGCTTTTCAGGTTCCATACAAATTTTAGGATATTTTGCTCTGGTTCTTTGAAAAATACTATTTATTGGCAGGTTGGTAGGTACACTAAATTTGTAGGGTGCTTTTTGTAGTATGGACTTACAATATTAATCCTTCCAATCCATGAGAACACTGTATCTTTCAACTTTTGGCATCATCTTCGATTTCTTTTTTTTCCATCGTAAGGGTACTCTTTAATCCCCATCCCCTACATGCCCCATGCCCCCCACCTCCCCTCTTGTAACCACCAGTCTGTTCTGTTCTCTATAGTTAAGAGTCTGTTTCTTGGTTTGTCTCACCCCCATTTTTTTCCCTTTGCTCATTTGCTTTTGTCTCATGGATTCCACATATAAGTGAGATCATTTGGTATTTGTCTTTCTCTGACTTATTTCATTTAGTGTCATCTGTCTAGCGCCATCCCTATTGTTGCAAATGGCAAGATTTGATTCTTTTTTATAGCTGGGCAATACTCCATTTGTATATGCACCATTGCTTCTTTATCCATTCATCTAGTGATGGACACTTGGGCTGCTTCCATAGTCTGGCAATTGTAGATAATGCTGCAATAAACACAGGGGTGCGTGTATCCCTCTGAATTAGTGTGTGTGTGTGTGTGTGTGTGTGTGTGTGTGTGTGTTTTGGGGGTAAATATCCAGAAGCGCGATTCCTGGATCACAGGGAAGTTCTATTCTTAATTCTTTGAGGAATCTCCACGCAGTTTTCCACAATGGCTGCACCAGTTTGCATTCCCACCAACACTGCACGAGGGTTCCTTTCCCCCCACATCCTCACCAACACTTGTTTTCGTGTTTTCTCTTTCAGACATGCTGACAGGTGTTAGGGGATATGTCTTTATAGTTTTGATTTGCGTTTCCCTGATGAGGAGTGATGCCGAGTCCCTTTCACGTGCCTGTTGGTCATCTGGATGTCTTCTTTGAAGAAGTGTCTCTTCGTGTCTTCTACCCATTTTTAAAAATTGTTTATTTATTGGGGCACCTGGGTGGCTCAGTTGGTTGAGCTCCCACTTTGGCTCAGGTCACGATCCCATGGTCTGTGGGTTCGAGCCCTGTATTGGGCTCTGTGTTGACAGCTTGGAGGGCTGGAGACTCTTGCAGATTCCCTCTCTCTCTTTGCCCATCTGCCACTCATGCACTGTCTCTCTCTCTCTCTCTCAAAAATAAATAAACATAAAAAAAAAAAAAATAGGGGCACCTGAGTTGCTCAGTCGGTTAAGCTTCCGACTTCAGCTCAGGTCATGAGCTCACAGTTGGTGAGTTAGAGCCCCACGTCGGGCTCTGTACTGACAGCACGGAGCCTGGAGCCTGCTTCAGATTCTGTCTCCCTTTCTCTCTGCCCCTCCCTGCTCACGCTCTCTCTCTCTCACAAAAATAAACATTTTTATTTAAAAATAAAAAGTTAAAAAATAAATTTAAGTAAGTCTAAAAAAATTAAAATATTAACAATTAAAAATTTTATTTAAAAAAATTTTTTTAATCAAAAAACTTATTTTTAAAAATATGCATATATGTATTTAAAAATATGTATTTATTTTGAGAGACAGAGAATGAGACAGCATGAATGGGGGAGGAGCAGAGAGAGGAGAATCCCAAACAGGCTCCTTGCTATCAGCACAGGGCCCAAGGTGGGAATCGATCCCACGAACCGTTGAGACCATGACCTGAGCCGAAATCAAGAGTCAGACGCCCAACAACCTGAGCCATCCTGACCATTTTTTTATCAGATTGCTTCTTGTGGGGTGTTGCATTGTTTCAGTTCTTTATATATTTTGGATACTAACCCGTTATGGGACGTATGATCTCCCATTCCGGAGACTACCTTTTACTTTTGTTGCTTGTTGCCTTCACTGTGCAGAGGCTTTCTACTTGGATGCAGTTGCAATAGTTTATTTTTGCTTTTATTTTCTTGGCCTCAGGAGGCAGATCTAGAAAAATGTTGCCATAGCCAATGTCTGGGAGAACTGCCTACACTCCCTTCAGGAAGTTTTATGGTTTCAGGTTTCAAATTTAGGTCGTTAATCCACTTTGAGTTTATTTTTGTGTGTGGTGAAGAACGTGGTCTCGTTTCATTCTGCATGCGGCTGTCCGGTTTTGCCGGTGCCATTTGTTGAAGAGACTATATTTTCCCCACTGTACGTTCTTTCCTCCTTTGTCAAAGATTAATTGGCGAGGTACCAGAGTGGCTTAGTCAGTTAAGCATCTGATTCTTGATTTTGGCTCAGGTCATGACCTCATAGTTGGGGAGTTCAACCCCTGCATCAGGCTCCTTGCTGACAGTGCAGACCCTGCTTGGGATCTACCTCTCCCTCTCTCTCTGCCCCTCCCCTGCACTCGCTCTAGCGCTCTCTCAAGATAAATAAACTTACAAAAAAAAAAAAAAAAGGTTAATCGACCATATAATTGTGAGCTTATTTCTAGGTTTTCCGTTCCACTCAACTGATCTCTGTTTCTATTTTTGTACCTGTATCATCCCGTTTTAATTACTACCATTTTGTAATAGAACTCAAAATTTGGAATTGGAATACCCCCAGTTTCGTGTTCCTTTCTCAAGATCGCTTTGGCTTTTGAAGTCTTTTGTAGTTCCATACAAATTTTAGTATGTCGGTGCTACCTGTGTGAAAAGTGCTGTTGGAATTTTGACAGGGATTGCGTTAAATCTCTACATTGCTTGGGGTACTACAGTCTTTCCATTTCTTTGTGTTGTCTTGAAATTCCTTCATTGGTGTTTTACCCTCTTTGGGATACACTTCTTTCACCTCTTTGATTGAGCTTATTCCCAGATATCGTATTGGTTTTGGTGCAATTGTAAGAGGGGATTCTTCATTAATTTAACTTTCTGCCGCTTCATTATTAGTCTATAAGAATGCGACAGATTTCTGTACATTGATTTTGTATCCTGGGGGCGGTGGGAGTCCTCTGGGGGGATGCTGTCGTGTGGCGACTGGTGTTGGCAGCAGAGACGCAGAGCATCAGAACTGGCTCCCACAAGCACCTGACCATCTAGGGTGAAGGGGGGCAAGGGAAATGTCACCTGCCTACACGTCTGTTCCTGGAGGAAGTTCCCTGAGCCTCCAGTGTGTGTCCTAAAATTAATCAATAAATCTCTATCACATACAACTAAGGCCATTTTCAAAAGGCTGCCCCTCTGCTGGACCTTCTGCCAAACGATACAGCCTAGAGTGAAGCCCTTGTGAGGTTTCACCCCCAAAACTTAAGGCTCATTGATTTTCAAAGGCAGGTGTTATGGGTCCTGGTCTCTCCACTGTAGTCCCCCGGGCCAGGGGTGCACGGTGTGGGGACTGATTCCCCAGCTTCTCGGTAACTGGGATGTCCCGCCCACTTGTGGACAGCCACACTGGGGGTTTGGTTTCCAACCACATCTCCCCCCTGCCTACCCTTTTCCATGTAGCCTTCACGTTAGCTTCGAAAGACCTGTCCCGCCAGTTTTCCAGGCATCGCAGACTTAGTGGGAGTACACGTTCCTATTGCCTCAGAGTGTCCGGGGAACGCGGTGAGTTCAGGATCCCCTACTCTGCCGCCATCCCTCCTCGTTAAGTGAGGATTTAAGTGCAGCAAGATTGAGGTGTCCAATGTGTATTCGCCACCGTGTAACTTCCACAGGAGTAAAAGCCACAAAACAGCGCTCACCAGAGACCGCATTCACATTTATTACATTAGGGAGTCTCAGACCTTAATCAAGATGAATAGAGCAAGTTAACACATAAAACTTTTCTCGTGGAAAAGCCACGTGACTCTACGTAGGTTCCATGAAGGCTTGGACCGTGTCTACCCCTCCTCCAACGTACTCCCAATCCTCGGCCCCAGCAAAGTCAGACAGTTGTAAGAAACACTTGTCGCGTCAAGACGAGGGAAGGGATGGAGCCGTCCTTACCCACTGAGGCCAGGTTCTTGCAGGTCTCCAGCATCACATCTCTGTAGAGGTTCCTCTGACCGCTATCCAGCAAAGCCCACTCTTCCGGGGTGAAGTTCACAGCCACATCCACAAAGACCACAGAGGCCTGAAACATACCACACGCTCTATTGCAGCGAAGCTCCATCATCACCTACGTGTGGGGGAGGCTAAAGGGTGACAGGCGGGGAGCTGCACTCCATTCCTAGGACCATGAGTCACACGTGCGTAGGGAGTGACAACACCCAGGCAGACCCACTGCACTGCGCACAGTGACGGGAAGGGCTGGGACTTGAAGCAGAGGGTGATGACAAGAGCTGACATGGACTTACACCCAATTTACTGGGTTATTTCTACTGAGACACATCTGAGCAGACCAGTTCTGTACAGATTGAAAAGTGAGATATTCACTCGGGCAGCACACAAATCGGAGGATACACGTTTGGCCTGCTCAAAGACGATTATGCCTCGTCATCAGCTCCAAGAACTGGAACCAGAATGTCAGGATGCTGTGGACACTCGGATTCCAGGGCTGCTTGATGGGAGCAGCTCTCGCCCTGGAAGGAACAAGGGCAAGACGCCTGCTGGAGTCCCCTCTCTTCCGACAGAGGCAGACACGACCCTTTCCCCGGATTAGGTGGGCTCTGGGCACGGACACAGGCCAGGGCCCGGGCGCCTGGCACACCTGGCGTGTAAGACAAGTTCTGGTTCCTGAAGAAACTCAGAAGTCAGCAGGGCCTCTGAAATATATAACCCAGTACCCAGAATTCAAGCAAAAGGGCACCAGAAAGAAAAGTTCCCTGAGAGATTGCTACTAAAATGGCAAGAGATGACTTTAACAGAGAGGGGGAAAAAAAACACATAATATCTTCTCAGCAAAATCAGACACTGCATCATTGAAATAAAGAGCAAACAACTATGATAAAAATAATCAGAAGTTGCAAAACAAAAGACATGTCCCCAAAATCTAAGGACACAGGACCCAGCTACATCAGTTACAACAAAGGCAACACCCCTTCATCTGGGGCTACAATGTGGGTTTGCTAGTCACACAGCTGATACGAGGTTTGTGATCTAAACAGGTTTTTAAAAACTCATGTAACAACAATAAAAAAGTATACAGACAAATAATACAACTAACTAACGGACAAAGAACGCGAGTACACATTTCCCCAGGAAGATACACAATGGCCAAAAAGCACATGAAATGATGCTCGATGTCACCAATCATCTGGGGTCCATCCACAAAATTTAACTGTGCACAGACACGTCTAACCTACTCTATGAGGCCAGTTTATCATGATACCAAAACCAGTCATATAGAAAATGGATTCTACAACGTGACCAAGTGGGATTTATCTGGGAATAAAATGGTTGGCTCACCAAGCAAAATAGCAGTCATAAACTTCATGAACAGAAGAGAAACAAAAACCCCATGATCACTTACACACAGAAAAGTATCTCCTTGAACCCACCACCCTCTCTTGACAAAAACACTCAGCCAACTAGGAACAGAAAGGAACTCCCTCATCCCGGAAAAGGGGCGGCGGGGAAAAGTCCACACCTAACATTTGCGCACCCAGACACTTCTCCAAAGAACATATGCAAATGGCCAGTGGGTCGATGAAAAGATGCTGGACATTCGTCACGCGGGACACGCACCTCGAACTACCAGCAGAGGCCCCTTCGCACCCACCACACTGGCTATAAAGACGCCCCAGGAAGCGCCGGCGAGGACGTGAGCAGGGCGCATTCTCCTTCATTTATCCTGCTGCCGATGTAAGCGGGGGCGGCCGCTTTGGAAGAGTCTGGTGGACCCCCAACACGAGCAACGTGGAGTTCCCACCCAACACGGCAGGTCCGCTCCTCGTAGCCACCTGCCCCAGACCCGGGAGGACGCGCGCCATCACACACACGCGTGCGCACGCGCTCTGCTCTCCGCCGCACGACTCCCGATCGCCCGCGATGAAAACCACCCAGAAGCCGGGCACCTCTTCCAGGCTGAGTAAAGGCGACACGACTGAAGTGGAGTCAGGAGTCCACAGGGGAAGCTCCCCAACCTGCCGCTCAGGGCCAAGGGCAGACACAACACGGAGAGACGCACCTGCACACCCGTAATGCATCACTGCTCATGCAGGAGGAAGGAAGACTATTTCCTCGGGTGGCATCAGCCCAGCCAATGAGAGACAAGACGGTCACAACCCAGCCAGCGTGAGACAACCATGGCTCAGCCAATGAGAGAGTCACATGTCAGCCAATGAGAGACGACCACAGTCCAGCCAATGAGAAGCCGCTACACCTGGATTCTCCCAGTTTGCTCCAATGGACTTCTAGCTTGGCACAGCCCCCTCCCAACGCCCCCTTCTCTTCTAGAAAAGAGTGTTCCTCCCTTTGTTCCTCCCTTTCTTCTTCAGACTTGCCGCCTGTGGTTTTCCTGGGGCTTACCTGTCCCAAATTGTAATTCTCTGCTATACCCAGATACACCCACTTGTTCCTGGAAAAATAACTGACTTCTGTTTTGCTTTTTTTTTTTTTTTTTTTTTTTGAGAGAGAGAGAGAGAAAGAGAGCGACCAGGAGCAGGGGAGGGGCAGAGAGAGGGAGAGAGAGAGAATCCCAAGCAGGCTCTGCACTGTCAGCACAGAGCCCAACCCGGGGCTTGAACCCATGAACCATGAGAACATGACCTGTCCTGAAATCAAGAGTACCATCATCAACCAACTGAGCCACCCAGACACCCCAAGAACAATACTTCTGGAGGCAAACAGGACTCCGGGTCTGCCTCCACAGGGAGAACTTTCTCCCCGGGGTTGGAATAAGTGCCAATAAACATTTCAGTGGGCTGCCTTCAGACCCGGGGTCCCGAATTAGAACAATCCATAGAGTTATGCTACTTTTCTTTCGTATTTTATTGCCAGTGAATCGTGTGATTCGTACAAGTACACGCTCTGCAAGGCTGACACTGCTGATGCACACGGCCTAGATGACAAGTGTCTGACGGCATCTCCCTCCGAACCGTCCCTGTCACTCAGGTGTGGCCTCGACTGGTTTCCACTGCTCTGCTCGTCCCCTCCAACACGAGACACGCCAAGCGGGAGACGTCCTTCCTGGCGCTGAGGGAGAAATCCACTAAATACAGCAAACCCGCCTCTCACTCCCAGATGCTTCCGAGGAAACACGGAGGTCAAACAGAGGAAATGGAGAGATTCGCCCACGGAAAGCTCCTTAGGGACGGAGTGGGGGGCCGGCAGGGGGCGCCCTCGCGTCCTGCCCCCGTCCTCACCGGGGGCCCCAGCCGCAAGCCCAGCACCCTGCAAGCCCAGCCTGCCTCAGCTGGGACGCCGCCTCCCCACCCCCACCCTGCCAGTGGGGAGCCACTGTGCTTCCAGCTCTAGGTTCCTCCGCATCCCGTGTTACCATCCCGGCCCCTCCTGGCCTCTCTAGGAGAGCGTCCCTCTCCTCTGTTCTAGTAACTGCCTGTGGTCCTGTGGTATCTTACACGTTCAGAATTAATTCCCTGCTGTTCCGGAACAACCTCAGTTTTGGGGGTAAAATACCTGACACTTTCAACTTACAAGTTACCAGTAACTAGAACACGAGGCAGTAACAGACAGACGGATAAACACCCTGATTGACAAAGAAATGCACAGACAGGCGCCCCTGACTCTAGCAAGTGGGTATACGCTCAGCGGGTGCCACAGGGCATCAGCAGAGATGGGGACACTTGGACACATGGGGCCAGGGAAGGCTGATTATCTAAGGGGTAAAAATAATCCTAGGGAGCCTGGGTGGCTCAGTCAGCTAAGCCTCCGATTTCGGCTCAGGTCATGATCTAGCAGTTCGTGGGTTCGAGCCCCACGTTGGGCTCTGTGCTGACAACTCAGAGCCTGGAGCCTGTTTCGGATCCTGTGTCTGCCTCTCTCTCTGCCCCTCCCCTGTTCACGCTCTGTCTCTGTCTCAAAAATAAATAAACATTAAAAAAAAAAAAAAAAAAAGGAATCCTTCCCCTCGTCCACTTCATGGACAGTAACCAAGACCTGTGGATTTAACCGTCATGGAAACAAAGTGGAACACACAGAAAGTTCCAGCGCGTGTGATTATGACCTGAGTGAAGGAGGAGTCTTCTCACAGAACAAAAGAAGGTTGTCTGCACAGGAAGAGATGAGGAAGTTCAAGTCTACTGAAAATGTGCAGGGGGTGCCTCGGTGGCTCAGCCTGTTAAGCGTCCAAGTCAAGATTTCAGCTCAGATCATGATCTCAGGGTTGAGATCGAGCCCGGCGTCGGGCTCTGTGCTAGGCCCGCTTGTGATTCCCTCTCTCCCTGCCCCTCCTTCCCTCGTGCTCTTTCATTCTCAAAATAAATAAATAACCTTAAAAAAAAGGGAAATGTGACAGGTCCATCCACGCAGGCAGCACAGAGAAATGACAAAACACAACACGTAGAAATGAAACAGACAAATGTCCACAGGATGTGAAGGAAACAGATCATCAGGAAGCAGACCCGTGAGTTACAGGTGACAACACGCTGGAAACGTTTCCACAGAAGAGGGAATTCCACATGTGAGAAATGCTCAGCCCCGGGGGAATCAGATAAACCAATGTGTGGCATCCAGGAGATCCTGACCTCCAGGAGATCCGTGTCACGCCCTCGAGCGAGCGGGACAACATAAAGCGGGCAACTCCCACTGCCGCAAGTGACAGGACCCAGCAGTGATGGCTGATTCACACGCTGCATCCCCATCACTTAGTAAATTTTAACTTACCCTCAATCTACAATATGCAATTTTCCCCATCATGTAAAAATGGCGATGCGTTCACACTTAGAGACATGAAGCCACAAGACAAGCAGGAACTTGAGACCTGGGTCTTTGCTTTGAGCTGCGAGCACCCTGGGTCATCCGGATGACACAAAGACCCCCTCCCAGCATGTGAAGGAAAACGTGCAGAATCACTGCTTCTACGTGTGCTTGAGATGAAAGAAAGGAAAGTTCTAGGGCACCCTCTGGTTTTAAATAAATGGAAACTGTTTATCCATTTCAGAGAACAGGTGCTTGTTAACTTTAGCCTCATGATAGCGAATCATAAGTCACAACTGAACACAACCCAGTTCAAGGGATTTCTGTGTATCTCAGACCACCATGAATTAACCAGAAGTGGGTCAGGATCACAGTTTTGCAACTCTGGACCTGCATGGAACTGTCACCAGCATTTGGATGAATCCTCTGATCCATGACTCCACCCACCTGCATGAAGGCGTGGAGCCCCCAACCCTCATGGAGAAGGACAGTTCTGTCCTGAGACACTTTTCCCCAGGGGACGCTCTCTGGATAAAGCCCCCAGTAACCCGGGTCAGCAGGGACAGGAGCGACCTGACACACTTACCACCCTCTGCCCTGAAGGGGAAGAAAAGAGGCAGAAAGAACTCGGGCATTTTACACCTGCTCAACGCGAGGCCGGCGGAGGACAGAGCCATCCGTGCTGGGCTGGACAGGGTGACAGGTCCTGCTCACAGATGACATGCAGACGCCTACCTGAGCCCTGTGCTCCCAGGAAAACCTCAGTGGAAGGGAAAGGCACTCCCTCCCCCACCCTGTCGGGGTCTGGAAAACAGCAGGCTGCACGAGGGCCCCTCCCCCGTCAGACCAGGAGACTCACAGCACGTCCCCCTGTTCACCCACGACAGGGCCACGCGCAGACCCCCCCACACCCGCACTTCGTGCCTCATCTGTGATCAGCTCGGCTGCTTGTCCCCGTGACCAAGGGGCACAAAATGCTGGCTGGTCCCGCTTTGCTTTGGCTTCTCTCCTTCCTCCAGACCCCTGAACGTGGGCTTGCTCTCAGCCTGAGCCACACACAGCCCCTCCTGGGGACAGGGGGTCAGGCTGGCCTCAGGGAACCTCCACGTCAGCACCACACCTGCTCATGCCTGGTTTCTTTCCTTTTATATGACTCTTGAGACACTCGCTGGTCTTAGGCTCACAGTGTGCTCCCTGTCGATGTAGCCCCCTGCCCTCCTGCACAGCCCTTGCCCCTAATGCAACAGGCCCCCCCCCCCCTGCAGGGCCCCTGCCCCTAGTGCAACAGTCCCCTCCCCCACCTTTGCAATCATTTTTGTCAATACACGTCTCTCCTTACTCAGTTTGGATTTTTCCTTTGAACCTGGTTTGACCAACTGTCCACCACTGCCCCTTTCCTACCCAAACTTTACCCAGGCCACTGTCCTCCCCACAGGCCCCGGCTGTGGGTGGCCCACACGCTGAACATCCACTGAGCTGAGGAAGGAGGCCCGGGGGACCTGAGCCAATGAGGCCTTCCTCCACCGCAGGGGTGGGATCCTGACACTGGGCCTTCTTGCCCATCCCCCTCTTGCAGAACAGCCAAGCGCCGGTTCTGTTTCACTGGAGAGGCTGAATCTCTGAGGATCCGAGGATCTCTGAGACGGGACCTGGTCCCTGTTGGAACTCCTTTGTAACAAAGTGTCCTCGACAAGCTCGAATTTGGATTTATCTCTCAGGTCCATCGTGAGTTCCCGGACTCCGATTCCCAGGTTTTACTGCCCCCGCACGTGGTGGTCCCCGCCTCCTTCCACCAGCCAGGACTCGGGTGGTCACATGGAAACCCGTGATTGTGACGGGACACGGGGACCCCACCCCATGGCCAGAGACAGAGACTTGGGTCAGGACCTGCAGAACCCACACGAGGAGAGGGGATAGGACGCCGGAACCCCACCCCGCGGCCCACAGATCTCTGGACGGGACCCCCGGGACCCCACGAGGAGAGGGGGCAGGACAAAGGAACCTCACCCCGAGGCCCATGGCCGATCTAGGGTTAGGACCGCGGTCCACGGCGGAGATTCGGGTAGAGACTATGAGACCCACACGCGAGGATGGGAGAGAACGCCGGGATCCCATCCTAAGGCCCACAGGGGAAACTCGGGAGAGAACTCGCGGGGAACAGGGAAATAGGGGTCCGCGGTCGCTACAAACCGGTTCAGGCCGGTTGGAACCAGCCCCTCCGCGTCCCGGGCCAGGGACCGGCCACTCACCATCTCGCGGCCGCACACGGAGCTCTCCGGGCGTCCTCCTCTTGATCCCGCGACCCGGCGACTCCGCGGCCCTCACGTGCCCCTCCTCCAACCGAGGAGCTAGCGGACCGGAAAACTGGGTGAGCGCGGGACAAGCGCACACCAGCAGCCACGACTCAGAGCTCACACTCACCGAGCGGGATGGCATCACCCCATCCCCCACCCACCAGGGCCTGATTGGAGTGTTTCCGGACCCGGTAATATAAATGCACCGCGCTATGCGCCCCCAAGCACGGATTGGGCGTTGCTTCAGGCAATGCGATCTGATTGGATGCTGTTCCGAAGATAACTCCCCACCACCTCGATTGGGCAATTCTCCGAGACACCGCACTGCCGCACTGTGATAGGGCAGCCTGAGGCCCTTCACGTTCTGATTGGAGGGTGGCCCCGGCACCGCCCCTGTGGCGCCAGATTGGGCAGATCCCCCAGGCCCCGCCTCCTACGCCCTGAGTGACGGGCCGGCGGTACACACGTGTCTGATCCGCCCGCCCTGAGGTCGGCTCCGGCCGAACGCCCTCCTGGCCGGCTGACCCGCCTGCCTCTTCCTTTGTCCCGGGAATCTGACTCGGTTTCTCCGCGGAGCCTCCCCTGTCCCGCGCCGGATCGCAACGAGACAGGGCAGAAGGGCCTGGTGACGGTTGTGTCTGTGGTCGACACGCGGGCGAGGTGACGGTGCCCCTGTCCCCTGTTTAAGAACAATTCAATGACCAGTGATGTCACGGAACAGAAGATAAGGTCTCCCAGCGTTTTGACCTGACTCTTGACACCGCAGGGCCCCGCTCCCACTTCTCTGTCCCCAGGTCAACCAAACATGGCCGTGCTCTCAGCCTCCGTGGGACATGGGACCCCTGGGCCCCAGCAGGACACAGCCACAGGTGTGACATGTTATAGTACTCAGGTGTGCGTTATATTCTGCAAGGAAAATCACCGCAGTTTGTAGTCAGTTCCTGTGAATGTGGGACGTAAAAGGCTCTATTTCCCTTCTGCACAGAGTACACTGATGTGGCACAGCTCTGTGACCATACAAAAAACAGAGCACTGAGTTTTACTCTTAAACGTGTGAGCACCGGGAGCATGGGTGGCTCAGTCCATTAAGCATCTAACTCTTGGTTTGGGCTCAGGTCCTGATCTCACCGTTTGTGGGTTCATGGGTGTGCACCCCTAATCCCGCTAGTACTCCCAGTTGGGCTCCCTGCCAATGGCATGGTGCCTGCTTGGGATTCTCCCTCCCTCTCTCTGCCTCTTCCTAGCACTCTCTCTCTCAAATAAAAACACTTAAATAAAGTTTAATAAATAAAATAAAAATAAATACAAATAAATCTTTAAAAAAGTGTGAGCTATGGTATGTGAATTACAGCTCCATTTTTTCAAACAGATTTAAAGTTCAAAACAGCCATGAAACCATGTCTCCTGGTCACAACATCGTTTATGTCTCTATGGATTTGTCTACTCTGCATTTTATATATGAGTATGTGTCCATGTGAGTCTGGTCTCTTTCACATAGGCTATTTTCTCTTCTTTAAGTTTAAATCCAGGGGCGCCTGGGTGGCGCAGTCGGTTAAGCGTCCGACTTCAGCCAGGTCACGATCTCGCGGTCTGTGAGTTCGAGCCCCGCGTCGGGCTCTGGGCTGATGGCTCGGAGCCTGGAGCCTGTTTCTGATTCTGTGTCTCCCTCTCTCTCTGCCCCTCCCCCGTTCATGCTCTGTCTCTCTCTGTCCCAAAAATAAATAAACGTTGAAAAAAAAATAAATAAATAAATCCAAATTAGTTAACATATAGTGTAATGATAATTACAGGAATAGAATTTAGTGATTCATCACTTACGTATAACACCTAGAGTTCATCCCAACGAGTGTCCTCATTACCGCCCCTCGCCCCTTAGCCTTCCCCCAACCCAACAACCCTGTTTCTCCTCTGTAATTCGGTCTCTTAAGGTTTGCCTCCTTCTATCTTATTTTTGCTTCCCTTCCTTTATGTTAATCTGTTTTGTATCTTAAGTTCCATATATGAGTGAAATCATGTATTTGTCTTTCTCTGACTTATTTCGCTTAGCCTAATACACTCTAGTTCCATCCACATTGTTGCAAATGGCAAGATTTCAGGATTTTTGATCTCCAAGCAATATTCCAGTGTGTGTGTGTGTATCTTCTTTATCCATTCATCAGTCGATGGACATTTGGGATCTTTCCATACTTTGGCTATTGTTGATAGTGCTGCTATAATAAGTCGGGGTGCCTGTGCTCCTTTGAATCAGCCCTCCTGTATCCTTTAGATAAATATGTAGTAGGTGCAATCGCTGGGTCATAGGGTAGTTCTATTTTTAATCTTTTGAGGAACCTCCATATGTTTTCCAGAGTCGCCGCACCAGTTTGCATTCCCACCAGCAGCGCAAAAGCGTTCCCCTTTCTCCGCATCCTTGCCAGTATCTGTCGTTGCCTGAGATGTTTATTTTCACCATTCTGACAGGTGTGAGGTGGTATCTCACTGTGGTTTTGATTTGTATTTCCCTGTTGATGAGTGATGTTGAGCATTTTTTCATGTGTTGGTTGGCCATCTAAATGTCTTCCTTGGAAGTGTCTACTCATGTTTTTTGCCCATTTCTTCCCTGGATTATTTCTTTTTTGGGTGTTGAGTTTGATAATTTCTTTATAGATTTTGGATACTAACCCTTTATCTGAGATGTCATTTGCAAATAACTTCTCCCATTCTGTCAGTTGCCTTTTAGTTTTGCTTATTGTTTCCTTCGCTGTGCAGAAGCTTTTTATTTTGATGAGGTCCCAGTAGTTCAATTTTGCTTCTGTTTCCCTTGCCTCCAGAGACATGTTGAGTAAGAAGTTGCTGTGTCCAAGGTCAAAGAGGTTTCGCCTGCTTTCTCCTTGATTTGATGGCTTCCTGGCTTATGTTGAGGTCTTTGATCCATTTTGAGTTTATTTTTGTGAATGGTGTAAGAAAGTGGCCCAGGTTCATTCTACATGCTGGTATCCAGTTTTCTCAACACCATTTGCTGAAGAGACGGTCTTTTTCCATTGGATATTCTTTCCTGCTTTGTCAAAGATTAGTTGGCCATATGTTTCTGGGTCCATTTCTGGGTTCTCTCTTCTGTTCTATTGATCTGCGTGTCTGTTCTTGTGCCAGTACCATACTGTCTTGATGATTACAGCTTTGTGATACAGATTGAAGAGCGCGATTGTGATGCCTCCAGCATTGGTTTTCTTTTTCAGGATTGCTTTGGCTATTTGGGGTCTTTCCAGTTTCCGTACAAATTTTAGGATTTAGCTCTGTGAAGAATGCTGGTGCTATGTTGATAGGGATTGCACTGAATATGTAGATTGCTTTGGGTAGGTACTGACATTTTAACAATATTTTTCCAATCCATCAGCATGGAATGTTTTCCGGTTGTTTTGTGTCTTCTTCCGATTTCTTTCATAAACTTTCTTTTTTTTTTTTTTTTTTAACATTCACTTATTTTTGAGAGAGGATGAGCATGGGAGAGGCAGAGAAAGAGGGAAACAGAGGATCCAAAGCAGGCTCTGTGCTGAGAGCAGAGAGCCTGATGTGGCAACTGAACTCACAAACCATGAGATCATGACCTGAGCCAAACTCAGACCCTTAACCTACTAAGCCACCCAGGTACCCCTATTTCATAAGCTTTCTAGAGTTTTCAGTGTATAGATTTTTCACCTCTTTGGTTAGGTTTACTCCTAGGTATTTCATGGGTTTTGGTGCAATTGTAAATGGGATCAATTCCTTGATTTCTCTTTCTGCTGCTTCATTATTAGTGTATAGAAATGCAAACAATTTCTGCACATTGATTTTATATCCTGCAACTTTGCTGAGCTCATGTATCACTTCTAGCAGTGTTTTACTGAAGTCTTTCGGGCTTTCCACATAGAGTATCATGTCTTCTGCAAACAGTGAAAGTTTGACTTCCTCCTTGCTGATGTGGATGCCTTCCATTTCTTTGTGTTGTCTGATTGCTGAGGCTAGGACTTCCAACACTATGTTGAATAATAGTGGTGAGAGGGGACATCCTTCTCATGTTCCTGACCTTAGGGGGAAAACTCTCAGTTTTTCCCCATTGAGGATGATATTAGCTGTGGGTCTTTCGTATGTGGCCTTTATGATCTTGAGGTATAATCCTTCTATGCCTACTTTCTTGAGGGATTTTATCAAGAAAGGATGCTGTATTTTGTCAAATGCTTTCTCAGCATCTATTGAGAGTATCATGTGGTTCTTATCCTTTCTTTTATTAATGTGATGTATCACACTGATTGTTTTGTGGATATTGAACCAGCCCTGCAACCCAGGTATAAATCCCACAGGGTCGTGGTGAATAATTTTCTTAATGTATTGTTGGATCCGGTTGGCTAGTATCTTGTTGAGGATTTTTGCATCCATGTTCATCAGAGAAATTGGTCTGTGGTTCTCCTTTTTAGTGGAGTCTTTGTCTGGTTCTGGAATCAAGGTAATGCTGGCCTTGTAGAATGAGTTTGGAACTTTTCCTCCCATTTCTTTTTTTTTTTTTTTTTTTTTTTTTTT